AGAAAGTTGCGTGACGTAGCTCCGGAAACATTTCAAGAGTCTCAGACCCATCGCAGAAACACATAGTACAGCACAAAACGCATACCATTTCAATTGAAAGATCGTAAGCCATCACAGTTCCGTCGGCCATTGTAGAACTTAGACGGTGCAACAGTTCCAAATTAACTGACAGTCATTTGGCCCAATCGGTTGCCAACAAACACCCAAACCATTCTTGCCCCACAAAATGGAGACAACCTGGACGACACAGCCGAGCCGGTGGACCCCATCGCCAACATAACTCAAACGGCCCACGTTCAACTGGTAGGCGTTTGACACAAACAATGACACGGCACACCACCTACTTTTGAATGTCCCGCTCTAGGATATGGATACTATTACAGTCCCTTTCCCATCCTTGATCTCACGTGTAGGATGACTGTAACGACGTAGAAGGGTTGGACGACTCTAGTTAGTGAGGTAGTACAAAGGTCCCGAATTTGAGGCCTAGGTACACGTGGACCCTATCGACTCTCCTATCGTAATCCAGAATCCAAAATCTACCTAACAGAGTCAAACCTATGCTCGTCTAGCAGTCTTTTTTTATTACGTATATTAACGCGTCAGAATTAGAAATCTCATGATTTTTTTCGTTTTAGTATTGCACTTAGAAATTATTTTTGAAGTTTTTTTCGTTATTTTAATGTTCAACTTCAAACTCAGGATATAAAAGATACACAGAATAGACAAAATAAGCAAAACAGGAAAAAACAATCTTGAGGCGCAGTTCAAAATAATTTTGTTCTTCCACTGAACCTCAGTTAGAAAAGTAGACATAATATCGATATCAGAGTATAACAAAAAAAGAACTTAAATTAAAATAAAACAACTTTAATTTCTGATCAAATGATACCATACCAAGTCTATAAGTGGTCTAGTTCCGGAGCCTTTGTGACTCAGACAGACAGACAGACAGACAGACAGCCAGACATAAAGAGCGAAAAAGTGCACTTTATATTTTTTGAAAGTGAAAGTACACTAAAAATTACAAAGTCCGAGATACCAAATACTTAGTATTTCATTCGGAAATTAATCTAAATTTTTGGATTGCTACAATGTATTTCTTAAGCAATAATTCCATGGCTTGCTTAAAATTATTGAACAATTTTGTGTTTATTGTCCGAAATAGTCTCCATCAACAGGGCCATGGAACAATGGCCATAAGAAATACATTGTAGACTTCTTCAATGCAAAAATTCAAGATTAATTTCCGAATTAAATATAGAGTATTTTGGTATCTCATATTTTGTAATTTTTTCCTCCATCTAAGTAGTGTAAAAATCCAATATGGCATCTACAAGGAATAAGAAAGTTGCCGTGATTGACTCGAAACCCACGAGTCATAAAAATTTGATTTTGGCATTGTCATAAAGCTTAAGAAAAATCACTAAGGGTTTGTTAAAATTATTTTTGGATATCTTGGACATGACATTTTTCGGTTTTTAGGTCAGAACTTCGCTATTTGTAAAGCTACAAGAGACTCTGAAAGGGCAAATTAATCAAAATACAATTTTTCATAACTTTTACAAGATACCCAAATGCTTGAATGAGGTTCATATGTACTTTACACCATGGCCTAATAAGAGTCCATGCTTTACACCGTTGAGCTACGTGTTACTCAAACAGTGGTTTCTGTTACATCTTTATATCTTATCTTGATAAAAAGACTTTCTGAAGAAATTGTGTTCAGAATTTCATTATAATTACACATTGTGATTTTCGACAACTATTATGAGCGACAGATTTGTAAACTGAGACCCAAAGATTTAATGGAAAACCGAAATATTCCGGATACGACATAAAATTCAGCAACTGCCGCCATCTGATTATAATATCCCACATACCACAAAGCAGTTGTTTAATAAAATTGTCGTAAAGTTATCCAGATCCTTTTGGATTTAAACAACTTTACAGCTAATCCACAAAGTAACAGTACGTGATAATGAGATTACTCCCAAATGACTATGGCTTCCCCGTAAGAAAGTATCGCATACATTACAGAAAAATCCCATCGTTTGCGGCACTTTCACATTGAAGCACTAACAAGTTGTCCACTGTTCTCCATAAACAGTAAAATTAATGCCACGGCCCAACCTGTTAATGCCTCTAATCTGATGCGCTAAGGTAGTAAACGCTTGCGGAATCTCGCAACTATTAATTCCGAAAGACCGCCTCGTATATTCAAAAATACAATGAATGTAAGGCACGGATCATGGGAATTAATTTAAGAGATTCGACCCGGCTCACCTTTACCGCGCTGAACGCATCACAAAAACGGAAAGAATAGCCGCGATTTTCATAAAATGAATGCTGACCTCTCCAAAGATGATTCCGCCGGGGTCGCGCG